TGTACAGACGTTCAGAAGTTTAAAAATGATACACAACGTAATAATGAATGAATATTAACCGAATCATGAAACGTCCCTAAGTGAGCAGGCTACAGAGGCGACGGTATTTCCAGGAGCTATTTATTTATGTTCATATGAAGTTAGTATTTGTATCTAATGGCAAGATGTCAAAATAGTTTCAAGAATTACAGTTTTTGTCAAATTATTGTCCGTAAAATAACATGAAAATCAAATTTCTGTAAGGATGACTGACTAATCTTGTAACGTGCTGCTGATAAGATTTATCAGTAGTACATGAAGAGACGTTAATGAAAATATCACAATAACAGGGAGAAATACTTGACGCCAAAGAGAGCAAATGACTCAGTCCTACGGCAAAATATGGGAGGCGTGAAAAGGAAGACAAAGAAACACGGAAGATCAGTGCAAATGATGATTTGGAGATAAGGTGTACATAATTTCGCTATACAGAGATACCTAATTCTAAACAAACATTCCGTTACCAAGTATCTTGTCTTCTACAACTCCAATGTGACCGTGTAGGTCTTTTAATAAAGGTAAGACACGTGGAGTTGTATCACATTAGAAAAGTACAAATAAAAGTAGAGGCAAGGGATAGAATGAAACCTAGAATGGATAAAAATGCACAATAGAGAAGAAAAATTGACGAAAGTTGGTAAATATTTCCAGAATCTGAATAATGACAAGGAATGAGTACTAAAGGAAGAATAATTAAGTGGAAACTAAAAACTATTTCCAAAATCTGGAATTTAGGAAGTAATTGCATTTCGGATATTGTGGACGGTTCTCAAAGTTGCAGTGGCCACATTCAGGTAATGTACGCTATCCCTTCAGCCTTGGAGTGCCAAGAAAGTATATTGCACTAATCAAGGCACTCTATTCAAACTCACGTAGTCATATAAGGGCTTATGAGGAATTGTCATCTGAATTGATAACAACCAGTGATGTCCGACAGGGATGTCCACTTCTCCATTCCTGTTTAACTCCGTCATAGATATGCTGATGGAAGTATCCTTAACTGAACGTAACGACTTAGGAGTCGACTTGTTAACAGGGAATAGTCTTACGGACTTAGAATATGCAGATGACATAGTCGTGTTAGGGGAGGATGCTAACAAAATGTAGAGTCTTCTGAATACCTTAATCAACAATCTTCGTATGTTTGGCATGCGATTCGCCCCTGTAAAATGTAAGATGCTGCTACAGGACTGAACTACGTCAACTCCTAGATTAGTGATAGGGAGTGAAGTGATAGAACATGTTGACCACTTCACCTATTTGGGAAGTTGTATCAGCACCAATGGACTGATTAGCGACGAAATCTCAGCAAGGATCCATAAAGCCCCAGCTGCTTTCGCTAACTTACGCCATCTCTGGCGTAGGCGTGACATCCGGCTATCAACCAAGGGACGTGTGTACTACTCAGCAGTTCGCTCCATCCTTCTCTATGGCTCTGAAACATGGCCAATACGAGTTGAAGACATGAAAAGGTTGGCTGCTTTCGATCATAGATGTCTACGATCTCTGTCTCACGTCAGGTGGTTTAATAAGGTAAGTAATGTTGACGTTAGGCGTAGTGTTGGGCAAAAAGGGAAAATCAATCGACGAGTCTATAAAGTTACATAGACTAAGATGGCTAGGTCACATGCTGCGCATGCCTAATCATCGCCTCCCCCGATGGGCATTACTAGCTGATGTACGCGCAAGTTGGAAAAGAGTAAGTGGTGGCCAAACAAAAACATGGCATCAATCCATGAAATCCTTGACAGTTAAACTGAGTCAGGTAGGGAGATGCAGACTTCCGGGTTGGGGCCCTCGGGACTCTAGGAATCAATGGCTGGAGACAATAGGTGACATGGCTCAAAATCGTTGTCAATCGCCAGCGCAGATGTATTCAGTCTCTGTAATCTTTCATATTCCTTTCTACCATTACCCATTCTGTTTCGCTCTTATACCTGTCAAACTATTGATTCTCTTCACTCATCTTCTTGTCTACTTCTGTGTGCTATTTGGAAGGTGGCAACTCGAACTGCTGCACTTCATGCCGAGTTCTATGTTGAATCCAGACAGACAGATCCCTTCAACCAAAAATCATTGACTTCATGGATTGACATCAGGATCCAATTTGACTATTCCTAGATCTCCAAATTAATTTTAAAGCTCGTCAAGAAACAGTTCTATATACACACGGCGTGTCCTAGGCAGATAGGGTTTCATGGGCTTATTTATTGGCATTTCCTCCTTAACTAACTCATTACCAGGTTGCCTTACCTAATCAGGACATAGTTACGGTAAAGAACCTCTAATATATTTTTCTTCTACTTTCCTAGGCCATTTTCACAGTCTCAAAGTAAGATAAAAGGAACTCCTACGTGGCATACAGACACAACTACTAGTTAGCCAGTTATGAGGCCTTGAGAAGTAAATAGTATACAACCCATCGATCAATTGATTACTTGGTATATAAGAGCCGTAGCTTAGCATAAGAACAATCTTCTGTAGCTTTAACCTTCAAAATAATACTAAGTAACACGAACTAAAAATATAACACCGATAAATTTCTGAATGCTGAAGTGAAATATTTTGAGTTCTATGCAACTAAAGCTAGCATCAACCTTCTCAAAAGCAGTAGACTTAAAAAATTCATACAAGGTGTTTCACTTTTAAGTAGAAACCTCAAATTCATTTTAATCAAAGAGGATGAATGTGAAATCAGGAGGAATAGTAGGATAAATTTTAGTGCGATTCTTCAAAACCTGAAAATAATAAATATTAGATGTCTGCGTTATTGTGGGCCTATACGAAGTGAGAGACATTTCAGTAGTATCCCATTGAAATAGGTGTCTACAGGTACATAAATTAAAGTAGAACCCTGGACCTAAGGTGATTAAATTTTCCAAGTAAGTGAAGTGGACAAAGTTTAGAAGAGAATTACTACCTGTCCATGAACTAGGGATTGATGGAGATCAGTTTTGTAACATCGAATTATATTTGCTAATAGTAAATTCAGATTTTGGTTCAGTAATTTACGCAGTGCTGAGTTTTTCAGAATTCCCGCCCCACAGCACCACGTCGTCTAAGAAATCAGCGTCAACCATCTGTTTTGCATATGGTGGATCAGCTTTTTAAAAGCTGTGCTCTTAAAACTTCGTGTTCCGATTCGAGAACGCGTAAGAAATATTAGGAACAAACTTGAGTCAATCTGAGTAAGAACGACGTGAGAGATAGATAATAATAAACAAGAGATTGCTAGGCGATGATCCGCACCTACACACAATAAGCTCTGATGTAATTAAAAAACAAAGAAACATAAGCAAAAAGCAGAAAACAAGATGAATGATGCCAGCAAATTTTCATTTTAAAAGTCGGAGGATTTCAAAGTACTCTTTCTGCATAGCTTCTTCAAATTATGAAGGGATAATAATGATCTTAACTTATTTCTTCCATTACTTTTCGGTGTGAGCTTTACAATTAAAATTTTGTGATAACTTTGTCTTGAGTGCTATAAAAGTCAATGATCAACTATTTTCGTATAAATCAGCAGCTCAGCAGAAAGGTTCTACTTTATCCCAAATCAATCACAAGTAATATGACCAAGTTTTCTGCTCAGTGAGCTCTACTGAATAGTGTATTGTGAGAAAAATTAAAAATAGTTATAAACTGGACTAAATTTCAACGCAGATCCCTACCTGTATGTGCAGTAGTTTAATTTGCCACAACTCATTAACCACATAGATAGAAACAAGAAATGCAAGGAAGCGTACAGTTCTTTGTTAAAATAACAGACAATGATGAACACAGACTAGGCGAACTGGATAAGAATCATTTAAAAGCGCATGTGTTTCTATTCCAAATCAACGCTTACAAAATAGTTAAATGAATTCTTTTTGATTTATCTTTCCCACATACAAATTAAGTGGTTCGCTAAATTTTTTGTTTTTAGTGTTAAGTGATGATCAAGAAAGTTACATTTACTGATGGTAAGATTTTCTTCATGTGGAAGCTATTCAACACGTACTTTAGCGATATGCTTGTAGTACATTTTGTACCATATACTAAGAAAGGGTCAAAGGAAGCCAACATGTATGCTTCATGATATGATAAATTTATAACGCAATAAATTGCTAAACAGTTTAATTCTCTTCTCCTTATCATATAAATTTCACTATAAAGCTTAAAACCGTAAGACAGGACTATGGATCTGAATTATCTTTTTTCCTTCCCACTAGATAAAACATCTCAGAGGACATAGCAAGTCAGTTTGAAACCAAAGAAAAACTATGTCGCTGTGTAAAATTGGTTCTTCTACCAAGTCAAAACGTCTTCGAACAGAGTCCAAGAAGTAATCTTAGTACCTTAAACTGAATCGTTTAGAAAGGGTTAAAACAAACGTAGAAACTCATCAGAAAAGTATTACCATGGGCTTCAAGCCTTCTGTCATCAGTTAATAAAAAATCAAATTGTGATATAAGTCTGAGACAAATCTCATTATTAAGACAGCCTTCACGCATCAAGTATGAATTTAGGTGCCCGAATGCTGTGTGTACTCAAAAAGTGTCACTTTATATTTACACGACTTCGTCAAAACGGTGCGAAATAGTTGTGATCTTGCACATGGAAATAAAAATAAAGTTTCCCAGAAAGCTTGGTTTTCCCCAATATATAATGTTGAAGGAAAGAAAATGTTGACTGAAAAGAATGACATAAAACGTATGGGAATATACGAATACAAATCACAAACACAGCTTTCCCATTCTACCGTTGCAAACAAAAGAAAAAGATGTATCCCTAGCCATTACATTTGTAAGCTAAAATACATATATAAATTCATATGTATGTGCAATTGAAATATATTCATATATTTGAGAAAACGCATGTCTTCCAATAGGAAAACAGTCAGCCAATATGAATACTATGAACTATACGTCGAAATAAGTTCATAGGTTAAAATACAGATATTCTTTAACATAATAACTCACAAAAGCACAAGCACAATTAGAATCGCAATAGTTTGGGTACACGTGACATGGACCAACAATATTCCAGGCACTAAAACAACTCCCGCTCTCTGAACCGTACTGAGAACTGAAGTCAACGACTTCATACACAAACTGATGTACTAATTCCCATTTCTTTCTTTCTCGCGCCATTAGTCAGCTGGTTTAGATTTTTCGAAAAGCCACTCTGATATGGCCTTCGCCCAAAGATACAATGGATATGTAATGTGGAAAGACTTATCCCTTTACACCCGTACAAATGCATGAAACCCCGTCTGAAATTCCGCAGTTGTGCTTATAATTTTTTCTTTTACACCAGAAACTTCCCTCTGACTATAAAACTCTCAATGCAAATTATTCAACGTCCAATGACTACATTACATACGCTGTCATTAATTTTTATGTCTTGCTTCCTGTATCCACCCGGTGTTACTGACAGTCGGTTGATTAAAAGCACCATTATCCATTACCATTAGTCACCTCATATGCTTGTAAAGTGGGGCAAGTTTGCATGCCTACAATAGACAACAGTAATTACGGGATAATGAACTGCCCCAGTTAACATTTGGGTCACCCACTTAGGTTACTGATGAATAATAAGTCAGTCGTAATATACAAACTTAGAAAAGAACATCCAGTCTGCAGTTCAGTTTCTTTTAGCTTACGGACTAGTTGCGTCGAATACGGATAAGAAAACTGCATTGTGGTATAATGTCAAGGGGATGCAGTGCTTTTCACTAGTTGAAACATCTTCTCAGCAGCGTATGCCACCCTCCCCAGCCTACCCATTACTTTAACCCATTCCTGTCATGATTTTTGCTGTTGAGGTAGTTGCGACCAGCTGGTAAATGTGCAGGGAATTTCCTCGACTGCCAGGCTGCAGATTCGTGTGACTGAATGATTAGGTCGTTATACAGAAGATAGTGTGAAAAGTAGTTTAAGGGCAACTTGTACATAACCCGCAATCACTTATGAATTGGTTAAGTTGTTCATGAAAACTAACTGCATCAAATAACCAGTGGTAGTGATTAGGCTGCCGAAAGTACCAGCGACGTATATACTTCGCCAGTTTGTGAGAAGTAATCATCATAAATCGTGATTGCTTCATTGTGACAATACCTATGACGGTGTATATCAGTGACGTAGATACAAGCGCAAGTAAAGCTGTTCTTGATCGAAGCATTTGATGGCTAGCACAACAACTCAACTTTTGTATGCCAGAATTGATGGAAATATGTAGACGGTCATTTTAGCTAATGAGATTCAGTGTCAGTGAAAGAGTTCCGATATACCAACGTGATATGCCAACCATTAAAAAATAGACTTGCTATTATGTAAGTGTCATATCAGCACAACGATCAATGAAACAATCAATAAGTTATCACATGAAACGCTTAAAATTCAAATAAATACACTTTAACAAATAAGTAATCGCTTCATTAGCTGTTAGGAGCAAAGTAGTAATTGAGTGATCAAAGTTATTTACGAAAATGGATAGAATTTCACACATTTAGCAACATAAAAATTAGCCTCTTGGCCAAGATCTAAAGCAGCGTGTTTGATTTCTGTGATCTAAAATTTCGGCGTTAAGTCAAGGCTTCAGGTGACCCCGGTTACATGAATGCAATGTACTTATCCACGTCAGCATGCTGTAACAACTTCGACACTTGTATGACTATTATTTGTCATCATTTAAAAAACTAATTCTTGCTGATCACAAATAAGCTTATAATGTTCACCTCAACGTATCTAGTGTACCATGCAATAATTGTGTGAAAATGTTGGGTGACCTTTCAAACTGAATTCTAAACTAAAGCCTATGACAGTCGTATAATACACACTGATGAAAAGATCAAAAATTTATGAAAACATCTTAGAGCTACTTCCTGAATTCTGAGTGTCTCTATCATCCGGCAGAATTTTGATACTATCGCCTCATATGCCTTCAGCAGGTCGGTGGGACAGCAGTAGGGACGTCCACCGACCATGCACATGGTCCGGGTTTCGATCCCCGGCTGACACACTCCTTTACCTTGCTAATTCAGTAATAAGAGTGGTAAAGAAGGAAGGTTGGGCATTAGGCTAGCAACGCCATCCCGTAAACATAATAAACACCACTGATACCGAAACTTCAAGCCTCTAGCTTGGAGCACTATGTTCCAGTGGGAACAAAAAGGAATAAAAAAATATGTTTTCACAGAATTGATTTGAAATATCTACCACGTGTAGCTTATGAATAACTGAAAGAATTTCTGTGGTAGCTGATTCACCATAATTATTGTTGTGCGGATGGTAACAAGAAATACGACGATGTAGCACGGCAGGAATAGGGTTATATTACACAGCAAGAGGAGACTGAGACAGTGTAATTCACTCCAGGACCTCCACTTCTGGGAGATCAGGTGGCTAAGCTCCTTAACAACTCCAAGCTCGTTTCCGGCTGGCTTCAGCCAAAATAACACTGGTGAATTCCGGATGCCCATCTATCCTCATATACTTGATCTTTGGTCAAACTTTCTGTTAACTCTACGTCCTGACCCACCTAAACTAGTAGCCACGCAGCTCTTAACACTGCCCCAACACGCGAGACGAGTATGTGACGTTTACGTCCGCTTAAATGTTTATTCATTCACTAAGGTATAAAGAATGTGCAGAGGTGCACATTCCCACCACAACTTGTGATGTCGTTGAAATCTGATTGTACGCCTTGACTAAGTCTGTTTTCGGGAAGACAGCCGCGGCAGATAATGCTGCTGTCAACTTGAGTATATACAGTGATGGATATCAGTCTGCGATCGTTTTGGCTTTCAATCACCGGCAACTACGAGAGAGATGGAATGCACTACCATTTCTTCGGTACCATATATGAGGTGGAGATGTCCACGCGCTATTCGCGGTTCGAAAAACGTCTATAGTAGGCAAGTGGTCGAATTCCTTTTCCGTCAGTCATGGTTTGCCAAGGGCAAGTTGTCGTGTTTTTGAAGACATGTGCTGTCTTCCGGTTATGATGTGATGCGTAACATTGCTGATTTTGCACAACAACACATTCAAACGGTTATTAAGCTCCAGGTACTTGTTGTACTTGACTGAAAATACTTTTTTCTATCTTTTCCTAGTCAGTCACTGACCACCTTCGGTCTACTTGGTTGGCACCTGTCAGCCACGTCTCGTAAACCGTCAATGCTCAGCTCTTGCTACGCTCGGGCTCACGCTGTTCCTTGAAGTTTCTCAGAAACGCTTAGTAATAACGGATGAAAAAACCAAAACACCAATTGGCGACTCGAGGATTCTTTATTGTTACACCAACATATAAAAAATGTTTCTACTAAGGTCTGTGAACAAATATTACAATAATAAATCACAATATTACTTCTGACGGTTTTCTGCTGACTTCTTTCTGAACAGCGACCGATAAGACGATGACTGTCGTATTGATGCCTCCGCGAAAATTGGGGAAGTTGGTTTTGAGCAAACAACCATGAATTGATCGTTCAATCTTCAACTACATTGACACTCCCCGGCAAAAAACGGATCCACCCTCTTTTTCCATCACGACCAATACACGTCGACTTGGATGCCATTGCGAGGACCTGGGTCACACGGACAGAGCTGAAATGGAAAACAAACAGAAAAGCCAACACACCACAAGCATACTCACAGCACAATCTTACACATCAATGACGACCTAAGCCTTCCAGTTAAAGGCATCCACTTGACATCTTGCAACACTGTCTCCACTTGCTAGAATGACTCTTGCAGAATGCGACGTGACCATAGCACCACCTCATGATACTTTACGCACATTCTCTTATCTACTCACTACCAATTACCACTGAAATCGCTTGTCACTCATTCTGCCTCAATTCTAGTAACGGTGACGTATGCGAGCCTCAGTCGTTTACACTCATTCTCCCCGGCGTGTGGGACCACAGCTAACAATTATCTCCGTATGCATGTCATTCTCTGCAATAGCCTCCCGGCGTATACGACCCATCTGCTGTCCTTAAAATCAATCAATTCATTCACGGATGTAGAAGACTCGAAACAACTTCAGAAGTAATCACGATGAAAATTTTAACAAAATTACGTAATAACAACAAGGTACGAAAACAACGAGTAAACACAATTAATCCAAAATCACAAACTGATAAGACACACCACACGTATGCACAAACAGTACACACAAACTCGCGGATCACATCTTGATGGAATTCCTTTGAAGAATCGCAGGACTTACACCAGTACGCCTGCAACTCCTTCTCAGGTTGATGATCCAAGTGGAAGTCGTCCGGACACAAACAGAATTACCAACAGCTAGATGACAGATGATATCAATTCAGTATATACAATATGGACATATGTACAAAATCACACACCAAGCACGTTGGACTGCTCATTGATGCGCTACCCTTTGAAGAATTGTAAGACTTACAGCACTACGCCTACAACCCTTCTCAGGTTGACGCTCTAGGTTGGAAAATCGTCTAGTGTTTCATCCTCCGACTCTCTACTCTCATCACCTTCCAGTAGACACAGTTTTCTAATATCTCGCACCAACATGCCACAACTTGTTCTCACCTCAACCGTCCTCACCAATCCATCACCATTACAGAGTAGCCTTACTACCACTCCTAAAGGCCACCTACCTGTGGCACATTTATCTGCTACTAATACTATGTCACAAACCTTTAAGTTTCGGCACAACTTTTTCCACTTGTCCCTGGTTTGCAGTGTTAGAACATACTCCTTTAACCATCTTTTCCAAAATATATCTTTCATGTGCCTGGCTTGTTTCCATCTTTTAATTGTAGGTATTCCTTCCCCGCTTGAGTCCTCTATGCCAGGGTTGCCTCTCAATAACAATAATTTATTTGGAGTTAACACATCAAAATCGTTGACGTCGTCCCTCACAGGTGATAACGGCCGGTCATTTAATATTCGTTCAGCTTCACAAAAAAATGTCTCCAGCGATTCGTCATTCAAACTCTGGTCTTTAATTATGGAGCTTAAAATACGCTTGATAATTCCTATAAGTCTTTCCCATAGCCCGCCTCTATGGCTGGCATGTGCTGGGTTGAAGTGCCACTCGATGTTCCTTCTCAGTAACTCTTCCTGAACTGTCGTTTGGGGACCTTCGAAGTACTCTTTAAGCTCGGCG